AGTACTTGTCAAAATAAGAGTGATTTTAGCAAATGACCTAGTTATAAGAAAATAAAGGGTGGGTGGGCGGGCTAGTACTTGTCAAAATAAGATTGATTTTAGCAAATGACCTACTCTCAAAGAAAAGAAGGGTGGGTGGGCGGGATCAATAGTCGTCAGAATAAGGCCGATATTACCAAATAACATACCTTCTCAGAAAACAAAGAGTAGAGGGTATATCATTTAGCAAAATTAGTCTTATCTTGACAGGTATTGGCCCCACCCACCCCCCCGTTATTTTATTCGAAGATATGGCATTGGCAATACCAGTTTTATCTTAGTAAGAACTAGCCCCGCCCACCCGCCCATTAGTTTGTTAGAGAATAGACCATTTGCCAAAATCAGTCTAGGGTACGTCAAATGGCATACCCTCTAAGAAAATAAAGGGCGGGTGGGCCGAATTAGTACTTGCCAAGACTTGATAAGACTGATTTTAGCAGATGACCTACTCTTTAAAAAAATAAAGGGCGGGTGGGCGGGGCTAGTACTTGCCAAAATAAGACTGATTTTGGCAGATGACTTAGTCACTAGGAAAATAAAGGGCGGGTGGGCGGGGCTAGTATTTGACAAGATAAGACTGATTTTGGCAGATGACCTACTCTTTGAAAAAATAAAGGGCGGGTGGGCGGGGCTAGGTACTTGCCAAAATAAGACTGATTTTGGCAGATGACTTACTCCCTAGGAAAATAAAGGGCGGGTGGGCGTGGCCAATAGTTGTCAAGATAAGGCCAAATAACATACCTTCTCAGAAAATAAAGAGTAGAGGGTATATCATTTGGCAAAATTAGTCTTATCTTAACAGGTATTGGCCCCGCCCACCCACCCGTTATATTCTTCGAAGATATGCCATTTGGCTATATCAGTTTTATCTTAGTAAGAACTAGCCCCGCCCACCCGCCCGTTATTTTGTTGGAGAGTAGGTCATTTGCCAAAATCAGTGTAGGGTACCCGGTAAGAAAATAAAGGGCGGGTGGGCCGGGCTACCGCTTGCCAAAATAAGACTGATTTTGGCAGATGACCTACTCTTTAAAAAAATAAAGGGCGGGTGGGCGGGGCTAGTACTTGCCAAAATAAGACTGATTTTGGTAGATGACTTACTCTCTAAGAAAATAAAGGGCGGATGGGTGGGGCTAGTATTTGTTAAGATAGGACTGATTTTGCCAAATGACACACCTTCTAAAAAAATATAGGGCGGATGGGGGGGGGGCTAGTACTTGCCAAAATAAGACTGACTTTGGCAGATGACTTACTCACTAGAAAAATAAAGGGAGGGTGGGCGGAGATAGTTCTTGTAAAGAAATGAAAAATAAAAATTAAGAAATTGAAAAATTGAGGAAACGAAAAATTGAAAAATTAAAAATTGAGCAACTGAAAAATCGAAAAATGGAAACATTGAAAAATAGAAAAATCAATCAGAAAGTCGAAGGAATCGTAAAATCGAAACGTCGAAGTGGAAAAATCAGTGGGAAAGTCGAAAAATCGTAGATTTAGTTTAATCAAAAAGTCGAAAGATCGAGAAATCAAAAAGCCGAGAAAACGGAAAGTCGAAAAAAATCGTAAAAGTCGAAAATTTCATTTGGTCCAAGTCGAAAAATCAAGAAATCAAAAGAAAAATCCAAGAAATCAAAAAATCGACAAACCGAACCATAGAAAAGTCAAAAAATCAGTGGGAAATTCGAAAAATTGAAAATTTAATTTGTTATAATTCATAGATTTTGCGATTTTTCATTTCGGAATTTATTTTTTTTATTTTTTCAACTTTTCGGTTTGTCAATGTTGTGATTTTATATTTTTTTTTTAACATGAAATTTTAAGTACATATTTAATTTTTCAATTTTAGATTTTTCGAGTTTTCGATCAAATACATTTCTTTACTTTCCGACGTTTCGATTTTAGGACTTCTTCAATTTTTTCTCCTTTCCGACATTTTCATTTCCTGATTTTCCGACTTTTTGGTCCAACCAAGTTTCCGATTTTTTGACTTTCTGATCGAGATTTCTACTTCGATTTTCGGCTTTTCGACTTTCCGTTTGATTTTTTGACTGTGCGATGTTTCAGTTTTTAGATTCTGCAAATTTTTGTTTCGGGCATTCGTTTTTTTTTCGAGGTTCCAATTTTATATATTTTTTTTTATTCAATGTGAAATTTTGCAGTTTTTCAATTTACAACTTTTCGGTTTTCAATTTTCCGATTTATCAACTTTGGATTTTCTAATTTTTGTTTTTTTTTTAGTTTAGGTTTTTCTACTTTTTATTTTAAATATATAAAAACCATAATTTGTTAAAAAAATTTAAAAATTGGAGAACTGAAAAATAGAAAAATAGAAGGATTGAAAATTTTAAAAACTGAGTAAATAAAAAATTATTAAATACAAAAATACATTTAAAAAATAAAGGATATGAAAAACAAAAAACTCTTAAAGTCGAGAAAATGAAAATTACAAGATCGAGAAAATGAAAAAAAAAAAATTCAGAACTTGAAAAATTGAGGAAACGAAAAATTGAAAAATCAATCGGAAAGTCGAAGAAATCGTCAAATCGAAACGTCGAAGTGGAAAAATCAGTGGGAAAGTCGAAAAATCGTAAATTTAGTTCAATGAAAAAGTCGAAAGATCGAGAAATAAAAAGCCGAGAAATCGGAAAGTTGAAACAATCGTAAAATCGAAATATTGCAAAGTCGAAAAATCAAACGGAAAGGTGAAAAATCGCAGCCAAAAAGTCGAAAATTCCATTTGGACCAAGTCGAAAAGTCAAGAAATCAAAAGAAAAATCCAAGAAATCAAAAAATCGACAAATCGAAAAGTCGAAAAATCAGTGGGAAACTCTGAAAATTGAAAATTTTATTTGTTTTAGTTTGTAGATTTTGCGATGTTTCATTTCGGAATTTAATTTTTTTATTTTTTCAATTTTTTGGTTTGTCAATGTTGTGATTTTATATATTTTTTTTAACATAAAATTTTTTAATTACATATTGAATTTTTCAATTTTACTTTCCGACGTTTCGATTTTACTACTTTCTCAATTTTGCGCTTTTCGATTTTTCGTCTTTTCGACTTTTTCATTTCCTGATTTTCGGACTTCTCGATTCAACCAAGTTTCCGATTTTTTGACTTTCTGATCGAGATTTCGATTCTTCGATTTTGCGACTTTTCAATTTTTCAATTTTTCGGCTTTCCGACTTTCCGGTTAATTTTTTGACTATGCCATGTTTCAATTTTTAGATTGTGCAATTTTTTGTTTCGGGCATTCGTTTTTTTTCGAGGTTCCAATTTTATAATTTTTTTATTCAATGCGAAATTTTGCAGTTTTTCAATTTACAACTTTTCGGTTTTCAATTTTCCGTTTTATCAACTTTGGATTTTCTAATTTTTGTTTTTTTTTTATTTTAGGTTTTTCTACTTTTTATTTTAAATATATAAAAATCATAATTTGTTAAAAAATTGAAAAATTGGAGAAATGAAAAATTGAAAAATCGAAAGTTTGAAAATTTTAAAAACTGAGTAAAGGAAAAATTACTAAATACAAAGATACATTGAAAAAATAAAGGATATGAAAAACAAAAAACTCTTAAAGTCGAGAAAATGAAACTTACAAAATCGAGAAAATGAAAAATAAAAATTACGAACTTGAAAAATTGAGGAAACGAAAAACTGAAAAATTAAAAATTGAGAGACTGAAAAATCGAAAAATGGAAACATTGAAAAATAGAAAAATGAATCGGAAAGTCGAAGAAATCGTAAAATGGAAACATCGAAAAGTCGAAAAACCAGTAGGAAACTCGAAAAACTGAAAATTTAATTTGTTTTAATTTGTAGATTTTGCGATTTTTCATTTCGCAATTTATTTTTTTTTATTTTTTCAATTTTTCGGTTTGTTAATGTTGTGATTTTATTTTTTTTTTTAACATGAAATTTTAATTAAATATTTAATTTTTCAATTTTACTTTCCGACGTTTCGATTTTACGACTTTCTCAATTTTGCGCTTTTCGATTTTTCGCCTTTTCGACTTTTTCATTTCCTGATTTTCCGACTTTTCGATCCAACTAAGTTTCCGATTTTTTGACTTTCTGATCGAGATTTCGACTTCGATTTTTCGAAATCTTCGATGTTGCGACTTTTCAATTTTTCGATTTTTCGGCCTTTCGACTTTCTGGTTGATTTTTTGACTGTGCGATGTTGCAATTTTTTTTCAATTTACAACTTTGCGGTTTTCAATTTTCAGACTTTGGATTTTCTAATTTTTTTTTTTATTATAGATATTTCTACTTTTTATTTTAAATATATAAAAGTCATAATTTGAAAAATCGCGTTTATATCAATAGACCAATTCACGTCGACTTACAGGAACCCATCTTTTGTTAAGTTCCGGATAATATACCGAGTGTTAAATTTGTTGTAGACAAAACGTCGAATCTGTTTATCGTTTCATGCTATGAAATGGCCAATGCAACACAAACACACTTTATTCACCTCCAAGGTCCCAACTCGTAAACGCGACCACCTACCTTTTAATTTACACTTAATTTTATTATTTAATCTCCAAAGACAAATGATTCAATTAATAAATTCGCATTTACTGGTTGCATATTTTAGCTCCTCGTATAAAAAAGCCCCATTAAATTTACGAGGCCGTAAAGCGCCCATTTAAATTTTTATTGTTTATTCGCCCGTATCCATACATATTTACACAATTCCTCTCCCAACCTAATCCACATAAATTGTGCCCTTTAATACAAATTGTTTCGAGTAGTGCAACAAGTATAGTGTTAGTACGCTAGTTGTAATTTACGATCGCATTAAACTTAATAACCGTTTAAGTACGAACTAAGTTTATACCATGAAATATGGCACACAGACCGTATTAATTACAGCGACAGCATAAAGGCCTTGAGTACTGACCACATTAAAACCAAAAAGTGCGCCTGAGTTATTAAATTTACAATAGCGAAATTTTTCTTCCAGGGGGATCGCCAAGGCCGGCGAGCCCAACAACCTCTCCCCCATATCCCCCGGGGTGCTCTACATGGACTCCTCGGTCCACGGCACCCTCAGGCGGAAGCAGCGGCGCCTGGCCAGGGACAACCCCGGGCTCCTGGTGGCCCTGGCCAAGGGCGCCAACGCCGCCATCCACGAGTGCCAGCACCAGTTTCGCAACCAGCGCTGGAACTGCTCCACGAGAAATTTCCTGCGAGGAAAGAACTTGTTCGGAAAAATCGTCGACAAAGGTTGGTACATAATTTTGAAAGTGTGTGGGGACTTTTACGGCACGATCACGTTTAAGTGGTTTATTGCGGCGCGGATTGACAGCTTACAGCGTACGCAGATCTTTGATTGATAAAACGTCTTAACCTACTTTCTTCGAGATTTATGCGTTGCGGCTTTCACTCCGCTCGGTTTTAGGTCCGTTTTGTTTGGCGTTTTTGTGTAATTAAGGGGAAAGGGATTGCGTAAGGGGGCGGAGTCGAGGAAAAGGGCCAGTTTTGAAAGCGCAAACATACGAGTATGAAGTGAGCATATTTCACAGAAAATTTTAAGATCATCTACATAAATTAATTTGTTGATATTACAGTCACGATATCATTAAAAAAAAGTACGAAAAGTAAAGAACCTAAATTATCCTTGAAGAACCCCGAAAGTTGTTATCAAAGTTTTTTGGAACTCAATCTACCTGACTTGAGTTGATTATTGTTAATTGGTGAAAACTGAAAGTCGAAGGATTCCGACCTGACCTGACTTGAGCTGATCGGACCTGACATTAAATTTTACTAAATTTTATTAACTTCTACTTATCTCATTTTTTGACGATTTTGACCATAGAGAAAAATAATACCACCAAATAATGCAAAACCCTCCATTACCAAGTTCCTTTCCACCAAGATTTCCCAGTTCTCCCCTCTGTATCGTCCTGTGCTTAAGTCATCGATTATGATTTGTCTGTTCGATTAGTGAAATTTTGAAAATTATGTTGAAAATAGGTCGAAAATTGGGGTATTTTGCATATTTTTGAATGTTTCAAAGGACGATTTTGGAAAAACCATTGGAGTTTTCGAAGAAATGAAAGCGGATATGACTTCTGAGACCTGAAATCCATAAGAAAACGTATTTAGTAAAATTTCGAAAATTTTGTTGAAAATTGGTCGAAAATTGGGGTATTTTGCATATTTTTGAAAGTTTCGAAGGACGATTCTGGAAAAACTATTGGAGTTATCGAAGAAATGAAAGCGGATATGACTTCTGCGACCCGAAATCTACAAGAAAATGTACTTAGTGAAATTTAGAAAATTTTGTTGAAAATTAGTTGAAAATTGGGCGGATTTTGCAAATTTTTAGATCTTTCGAAGGACGATTCTGGAAGAACCATTGGAGTTATCGAAGAAATGAAAGCGGATATGACTTCTGTGGCCCGAAATCTACAAGAAAATGTATTTAGTGAAATTTCCAAAATTTCGTTAAAAATTGGTCAAAAATTGGGGTATTTTGCATATTTTTGAAAGTTTCAAAGGACGATTTTGGAAAAACCATTGGAGTTATCGAAGAAATGAAAGCGGATATGACTTCTGCGGCCCTAAATCTACAAGAAGACGGATTTAGTAAAATTTTGAAAATTTTGTTGAAAATTGATCGAAAATTGGAGTATTTTGCATATTTTTGAATGTTTCAATGGACGATCCTGAAAAAACCATTGGAGTTATCGAAGAAATGAAAGCGGATATGACTTCTGAGGCCCGAAATCTACAAGAAAATGTATTTAGTGAAATATCGAAAATTTTGTTGAAAATTGGTCGAAAATTGGGCGGATTTTGCATATTTTTAAATATTTCAAAGGACGAATCTGGAAAAACCATTTTAGTTGTCGAAGAAAGAAAGCTTATATGGCTTCTGCGACCCGAAATCTACAAGAAAATGTACTAAGTGAAATTTCGAAAATTTTGTTGAAAATTGGTCGAAAATTGGGGTATTTTGCATTTTTTTAAAGTTTTAAAGGACGATTCTGGAAAGATTATTGGAGCTATCGAAGAAATGAAAGGGGATATGAGTTCTGCGGCCCGAAATCTACAAGAAAATATATTTAGAGAAATTTTGAAAATTTTGTTGAAAATTAGTCGAAAATTGGGGTATTTTGCATATTTTTGAAAATCTCAAAGCACGAGTCTGGAAGAACCATTAGAGTTATCGAAAAAATTAAAGCGGATATGACTTCTGCGGCCTGAAATCTACAAGAAAATGGATTTAGTGAAATTTCGAAAATTTTGCTGAAAATTGGTCGAAAATTGGGGTATATTGCATATTTTTGAATGTTTCAAAGGACGATTCTGGAAAAACCATTGGAGTTATCGAAGAAATGAAAGCGGATTTGACTTCTGCGGCCCGAAATCTACCAGAAAATATATTTAGCGAAATTTCGAAAATTTTGTTGAAAATTGGTCGAAAATTGGGGTATTTTGCATTTTTTTAAAGTTTTAAAGGACGATTCTGGAAAGATTATTGGAGCTATCGAAGAAATGAAAGGGGATATGACTTCTGTGGCCCGAAACCTACAAGAAAATATATTTAGAGAAATTTCGAAAATTTTGTTGAAAATTGGTCGAAAATTGGGGTATTTTGCCTATTTTTGAATGTTTCAAAGGACGATTCTGGAAAAACCATTGAAGTTATCGAAGAGATCAAAGCGGATTTGACTTCTGCGGCCCGAAATCTACAAGAAAATATATTTAGCGAAATTTCGAAAATTTTGTTGAAAATTGGTCGAAAATTGGGCGAATTTTGCAAATTTTTAGATATTTCAAAGGACGATTGTGAAAGAACCATTGGAGTTATCGAAGAAATGAAAGCGAATACGACTTCCGCGTCCCGAAATCCACAAGAAAATGTATTTAGTGAAATTTTGAAAATTTTGTTGAAAATTGGTTGAAAACTGGGGTATTTTACATATTTTTGAAAGTTTCAAATGACGATTCTGGAAAAACCATTGTAGTTATCGAAGAAATGAAAGCGGATATGACTTCTGCGACCCGAAATCTACAAGAAAATGTATTTGGTGAAATTTCGAAAATTTTGTTGAAAATTGGTCGAAAATTGGGCGCATTTTGCATATTTTTATATATTTCAAAGGACGATTCTGGAAAAACTATTGGAAGTTATCGAAGAAATGAAAGCGGATATAACTTTTATTTACTTCTGTAAAGTCGATTCTTATGTATTTTTAAAATTATATTTTAAGGTACACTTTGATCAAGAAGATTTCGTCTACAAATTAAAGATAAAGCTCCACTTAAAATTATCAATCCTGAAGAAACGATTAATGAAAAAATTACCAAGATTCAAAATTTAGTATCCACTGAAAACAACTATTAGCGCAAATCGAATGTTTAGGAAAGTAGTACTAAAATTTATTGCTTAAACTTGATCACCAAATTGTCATAATATTAAATAAAAAATTTAAAAAATGTTTTCTATATTTCGGGTTAGAATATATTTTAAGAAAGAACAACCTAATATAAAAATGCAAATTTTAGAAGTTTGCCAAAGTTTCATTTCTTTGAAAATCTCTTGCATTTTTCCAGAATTGCCAATACGAAATGTAGAAGTTTTGAAAAAAAAATGTGAATTTCAAAACAAATATTTCGAAATAGGTAAAATTAATTTTTTTATTTCAACTTTTCAATTTTATATTTTTATTGATTCCTACCATGGAAGCCTCCGAAATTATTTCCAATTCTTAATTTTTAATTTTTCAATTTTTAGATTTTACCAATTTTCCATCTGCTGTTTTTTGAGTTTTCAGTCTTAAAATTTTCAATCTTGCGATTTTTCATCCTTTAGATATTTTCATTTTTAATTTTGTTGATTTTCGATTTTTCAGTTTTTCAATTTTTTATTTTTTGATTTTTTCATTTTTCGATTTGAATTTTGAGACTTTACTATTTTCCCATATGCTATTTTTTGACCTTGTAGTCTTAAATTTGCAATTTTTCGATTTTCCGTTTCTATAATTTTTTGATTTACGATTTTTCGATTTTTCAGTTTCTCGATTTTAATTCATTTTTTCAATTCTACAATTTTTCAATTTTTTATCTGTTAGATGTTTCCATTTTTAATTATCTCAGTCTTTCAATTTTAAAGTATCTCAATTCTTAATTTTTTGATTTTTCAGTTTTTCGATTGGCAATTTTAGATTTTAGCATTTTCCCATCGGCTATTTTTTGAATTTCGAATCTTAAATTTTTCAATTTTTAGATTTTCCGTTTCTTTAATTTTTTGATTTGCAATTTTTCGATGTTTCATTTTTCAATTTTTCGATTTGCAATGTTAGATTCTGCGGCCAGAAATCTACAAGAAAATGTACTTAGTGAAATTTCGAAAATTTTGTTGAAAATTGGTCGAAAATTGGGCGGATTTTGCAAATATTTAGATATTTCAAAGAAAGATTTCTGGAAGAACCATTGGAGTTATTGAAGAAATGAAAGCGGATATGACTTCGGCGGCCCGAAATCTACAAGAAAATGTATTTAGTGAAATTTCGAAAATTCTGTTGAAAATTGGCCGAAAATTGGGCGGATTTTGCATATTTTTACATATTTCAAAGGACGATTCTGGAAAAACCATTGGAGTTATCGAAGAAATGAAAATGGATATGACTTCTGCGGCCCGAAATCTACAAGAAAATGTATTTAGTAAAATTTCGAAAATTTTGTTGAAAATTGGTAGAAAATTGGGCGGATTTTGCAAATTTTTAGATATTTCAAAGGACGAATCTGGAAAAACCATTGCAGTTATCGAAGAAGTGAAAGCGGATATGGCTTCTGCGACCCGAAATCTACTGGAAAATGTATTTAGTGAAATTTCGAAAATTTTGTTGAAAATTGGTGGAAAATTGTGGTATTTTGCATATTTTTGAATGTTTCAAAGTACGATTCTGGAAAAACCATTGGATTTACCGAAGAAATGAAAGCGGATATGACTTCTGCGGCCCGAAGTCTACAAGAAAATATATTTAGTAAAATTTTGAAAATTTTGTTGAATATTGGTCGAAAATTGGGGTATTTTGCATATTTTTGAAAGTTTCAAGGGACGATTCTGGAAAAACTATTGGAGTTGTCGAAGAAATGAAAATGGATATGACTTCTGTGGCCCGAAATCTACAAGAAAATGTATTTAGTAAAATTTTGAAAATTTTGTTGAATATTGGTCGAAAATTGGGGTATTTTGCATATTTTTGAAAGTT